CCGGGGCAGGCGGGAATCGAACTCATGGGGAAGCGGCTTTAGATTCTCAGTGCTGTGCTTTAACCCGCTGCGCCACCAGGGAGGGCCTCAGTGCTGTGCTTTTAACCCGCTGCGCCACCAGGGAGGGCCTGAATGTCTTTTTTAGAAAAATGTTTGTTTAGGTCTTTTGCCCATTTTTGATTGGGTTGTCTGTTGTTTTTATTGCTGTTGGATTGTATAAACACTTTGTATACTTTGGAAATTGGTTCCTTGTCAGATGTATGGTGTGCAAGTGTGTTGTCCTAGTCTGCAGGCTGCCTTTTTGTTTTTGTGAACAAAAGCTTTTTTGAGGTACAAGAGCTACTCAATTTGATGTAGTCCTACTTCTTTTTCGTCTTTTTTTATTTTTTGCTTTTGTTTCCCTTTTTATTGGCATTGTATGCTAAATATATCTTTGTAGTAGCTAGTCCTATTTTTATGGTCTCAGGTTTTATATTCAAATTTTTACTCTGTCTTGAATTAATTTTTATGTAGAGTTAAGTTTCCCTTGCTTCCTTTCTTTCCTCCTTTCCTCCTTTCTTTCTTCCTTCTTCCCTTCCCTTCCTGTTTTTTGGCAGGAGGCTGTCCATATTTCCCAACATTTGTTAGAGACTTTCCTTTCTTCATTGTATGGGCATGGTTCCTTTGTCAAAGATTAACTGTCCATATTCGTGCGAGCTTATCTCTGAGTTTTTTATTCTATTCCACTGGTCTATGTTTCTGTTTGTTTTAATAGCATATTGTTTTGATTATGGTTGCTGTGTAATATAGCCTGAAGTTTAGGAATGTGATACCTCTGTTTTTTCTTCTTTTCTCTCAAGATAGCTGTAGCTATTGGGGACTTTTTGTGGTACCATATAAATTTTACAATTGCTTTAAAACATTGGGATTTTGGAAAAAATCATTGAGATTTTGACAGATATCAAGTTGAATCTATAAACTGCTTTAGCTAACATGGAGCCATTTTAATGCTATTTATTCATAGAGCTTATGAGCATGGAATATCTGTTTCTTTGTGTCTTTTTTTATTTCCTTTAACAGAGTCATAGCTTTCAATATATAGGTCATTCATCTCCTTCATTAGCTTACTCCCAGGAATTTCATTCTTTTTGGTATAATTGCAAATGAGTTTGTTTTTTAATTTCTCTTTATACATTGCTTAATACAAAAATTCAACTGATTTTTGTGTAATGATTTTGTATCCTGTCATCCTGTTGTATTCATTTCTTATTTCTAGTAAAAACTATTGGCTCCCTTGTATATTATCATGTTATTTGTGAACAGTAACAGTTTCACTTGTCCAGTTTAGATTTTTGTTATTTATTTATTTATTTTTATCAAACTGCTCTAGCTAGGACTTCCAATACTATGTAGAACAATACTGATGACAATGGGCACCCTTGTCTGATCTTGATCTTAGTAGAAATACTTTTCTGTTTTCGCCAGAGTGCATGATGTCAGCTGTGAGAATCTCATATGTGACTTTTACTATGTTCAGATAAGTTCTAGTTATTCCCATTTTAATGAGGCTTTTTTGCATAAATGGATGCTGAATTTTGTCAAATGCTTTTTTGAGGTATATCAAAATGATCATATAATTTTTATCTTCATTTGTGTTGATCTGGTGAATGACACTGATTTGCTTATGTTGAATTAGCTTTGCATTCAGGGGATGAAGCCCACTTCATCATGGTGGATGAGTCTCTTAATATGTTTCTATATCTGGTTTGGTAATATTTAGATTTTTGGATCTAAATTCATCAGGGATATCAGTCTATGGTTTTCTTTATTTGTACTGTCCTTGTTTGGTTTTGAGATCAGGGTAATTAATGTTGGCCTCAGAGAATGTGTTGGAGGAATTTCTGCATGTTTTCCTTTTCTTTTCTTTTATTTTTCGAAGAGTTTGAATAGGATAAGTAAGAGGTCCTTTGGAGGTTTGATAGAATTCATGGAGAAAACCATCTGGTCCTATGCTTTTATTCTTAGGGAGAATTTTGGTTACTTTGTCTGTTTTACTCGTAATTGCAACTCATAATTGGAATGTTTATGCTGTCTGTCTGTCCTGGTTCATTCCTGAAGGCTTGTATGAATCTATAAATGTGCCGATTTCTTCTAGGTTGCTCAGTTTG